TTTCAGCAGGAGGTGTACTTCTGCCATGCTTTACTTCATCATCTAAGTGAATCCTATGCCCGAATGGGTCATCAATATGAGCCAGAAAGAGACCACCTTGTGGAGGGAAGATGCACAAGACAAAAAGAGTTGCGAATCGCCTTATTCGAACGTGTCACTTGTTCGCAGTGATTATCGACACAATAAGGCAACTCAACCACTCAACCTGTCAGGCTATTTATCCTAACTAACTATCGATTCTCATAGGGAATCTTATAATGCCCAAGCAGTATGAATGAAGCTCGGTCGAATACTGATTTGGAAAGATCTGAGCGAATCTGGAAAATGCAGCTACACAAAGGCCTTCAACCCTATTGGGGATCATGAGATGGGTGTGAACAGATTGGTCGTTTAACCAGTTGGCTGGCAGTTACACATCGCTGCAAAAGAGAAGGTGCAGCTTGTTTCAATTGGTTGAGAACATTGTTACCATTATTTCCATAAAGGAAACTACTCACAAGGTTGCTGAAAACTCTTCGACAGCCCACGACCGGTTTCGCCCTTCTTGGGGCTCATCAGGTAGGCGCAGTTTCCGAGTTTCCGTCAACCTTATGATCTACTTGAACTCAAATTGCACTGTTTTCGAGAAATACACTCATTTGTAAATCAATTTGGTTTTCACGGGTTTACCTTAACTGCAGATGCAGGATTATGTGAGCAACTAGTAGCAGAACAGGCATTTGTCTGAATTTCAGCTGAGAAAGATTTAATCAGTGCTCCCATCGGGACCCATCAGGTGGGTATAGAGGGATTCCCGTCAACAAGCAGCAGTCAACTTGGTAAAAAGGATCACGTAAGATGCAAACAGACCTACTTTGGATGGAACAGAACTGAGTTTACAAGAAGCTGAAGGTGGCCTGCTGGCTGAGTGCTCGATTGCAACGAAACGATAGGTAAGGCAGACTATAAAATGAACACTAAAAATATGGTGCGAGTACAACAGTGTGTCCCAAGTTAACCCGAAGTTCATGGACAAGTGCCATTTCCAACCATTAGTAAACCTGTAGTGTTTTTATCTCACGCCAATCGATAAGTGATCAGGTAGGATGTAAATGAGGTGTGCAACATGAAACACGTATCAGAGAAACATGCAAGCTGACAAACTACAGGAATGCAGGTGGATAAACGACTCAAATGACAGCTTACCGGAAAGGGAATATTCGTTGGCTTGGGATTCACTCAAACGCACCAAAAATGAGCCGTGTTCATTTCCAGGCATCTGAAGATAATGTTCAGCTTCAACGCGACGTAATTCGCCAAAGTACCACCTGAATAAGACGAGTGAAAGTTGACCATTAGCGGAAAGAACCATTCATTGATGTCCAGCCCACAGATAACCGGAATCCTCGTGCTTTCCACGAACATTTCCAAAACTACCAAGTACAAACCAAACTTTAAAAGCCAACGAACCTGCCAAGCAGGTTGTGTGAAATATCCATATCCCTCATTGTGGTAATAATAAAAGTACTACTACCAATAATAATGATTGTTCAGTTGCAACACCCCTTCGGTACCTAGCTGCTACGCCACCCTGAGACACAAGGATTAAATACCGCCGAGTTGCTCAAGCCTAGATGGCAGCACTGAGTTATCACGAGCCTCCCACGGTACCGGAGATAAATCACAAGAGGAAGTGAATCAATCAATCAACACGTACTAATGTAGCCCAATCGGACTTTTTGGCGACCAGACAGCTAGCATTCAGAGAGTTGAACAGAAATGGTGTTCAACAGTAGACTTCAACGCCTCCAGATAAATGGCGGCAACACAGCCAAAAAAACAGGAAAATCAGACCCACTGAAAGTCAACCAGTGAGCAGTCGGCAACGAACACTTACTTGTGTTACCTACAGTGGTCCGGGGAATCGCCATCATCATCGACAGCATGGCATCAGTGTTCAACACCGATGCTTCACTGCCGTACAACCACAACTTATTTGAAAGCCTTATTGTGACGAAAGAAGTAAAGGTGGATGGGGGAGGGACTTAGTGCTAGCTTAACACACTCATTCAGAGGTGTCTACACTTCCAGACATTCACTCAGGCAATCTGGATAGAAACTGACGACAAGAACGCCACTGACATCGGTTGGCAGCCATATCTTGTAGTATCTCCAACCAGGCACAGTGAGGATCACGCGGTCCCCATCCGGGAAGGCGAGCAGCACCGACAGCACCCAAGCGTTTCGTGATCTCCTTCATACTCCTCTGCCAGGTCATCGGTTGGCCACCTCTCTGTTTACGCGCAGCTTCTGGTGCTGGACACATTCTTCAATGGAAGTACCCGTTACACAACCGAAACCACGCTCTCTAACTGCCTCGTTACGGATTCGCCGACACCAACCCACACGAGCTATGGTTCTGAGACAACGATTGTCGAACACCTGAAGACGTCTCAAGTTCGCTGCTCGAATAGGCCAAGTCTCACATCCATACAACAAAACAACCCGCACTGTGGCTTGATACACACGTCCCTTAAGATTCAGGGATAAAACATTCTGACGCCATAGGTGCCTCAATTTAGCAGACGCGGCCCGAGCCTTGCAGATTCGTGCATTCACCTCATCTGTCACACTACAATCAGAACTAATACAACTTCCAAGATACGTAAAACGCTCCACAACTTTCAGTACCTCTCCCTGGATTGTAAGTGGCGTGTTCAGTGAATCACTGACTTTAGCAACGGTCTAGCAGGTGACCGAGTTTAAACAGTTAATTCGGCAAGATTTCGGTTCGGTGAACACAATTCTGATCCATTTAAGCATGGAATCTATGCCCGGTTAAATGAACTTTACCAGCGAGCACATGTAACGCACCTTATTGTGTATTGTGCCTGCGTTCGTAGAAGCGCGACCTTAGAAGTCCCTATGGGCATCTATAGGTACACACCGAACCCTGGTCGTTCTTCAACACCATAGGCGAGATCGTGTGCTACGGAGCTCATATTGCCACCTGTCATCGATGTCTTAGTTTATTACAAGACCCCTACTCGTACTGATTACTTTCACAGAATGTCATGCGTCAAACTAAGGACGCGGTCCTTGTGGACATAGAAGCAATCGAGCAATCAGGACTCAGGATAACAGAGCAACAGACGGAACAACCCTACCGAACAACCAATCGTTACCAAAGGTTAGCCCTGTCAAGCAGAACGCATATTAACACACACGCAGTACTGTTCAAAGCACAACCAACAACCCGGTTCTACGATTTACTACGCTTCCAAGCAAGGCACTGATGATGGCATCTCGATTAGTGATGTAACGTTTGCCTAGCTCAGCGAACAAACGAACGACCATAGGAGCAATCAACTAAGTCAAAACGGAGGGAACAAACTGAGTCGACCGGCCGTATCGGAAATCTTCTAATTCGACGTCAGCACCAGTCTATTTGCAATACCAATGTCTCCAACAAATACTTGCCTCCCCATCACCCCCTTGTCAAATAACTGGCCTTAAGCAGTCACGACGGCTCATAAGCTGTTGTAACTATCCGGTTATTTCAGCGCACAACTAACAGATAGACACCAGCTGCCAACAAGCCATCAGAAAGAGCTTGAACAGCAGGTGACAGCCGTCGTCCTTTTTTCCCACTGTAATAATAATTCGGCCATCAACATATAAGCGATATAACCTGAGAGGTTGATGAAACGCTCATCACTAAATGTCACTGAAAAGAAGAAACTGGACCGAGCCCAACATTTTATCAACCCGCCAAACTGTCAAGAAGTTTGGCTGGCCTGAAGAAACGAGGAAGATGAGTTGCTGCCTGAATTGTCGGAGCCAAATGACAGTATTGCGTTGTTTGGGTGATCTGAAGAACACATGACCTACAAGGAATTGGATGAGGGTGACCATGAACTGCCAGTAAGACTCAGAGCTTGATTAAGTACTCTACTCGACAGACAAGGGAACGCCACGTCCAAAGACTTGGTAGCATCCTGTATGCAATGCTTTATCAATGGTGTGACAGACTGTTGGTCATTTGTGGTTGTTTTCATGAGGCATCCGTAGCTACTGAGGTAACACGAGTTTCGTGTGCAAAGACGCTCTCGGAATGGGTACTGTATTGTTCTAATTGATTTCATGATTGTCACACCACTTGACAGGATAACCGCTTCTGAGATCGAAACCAAGGTATGAAAGACAGCGCTTATTGGTCAGGCACAATTACGGAATGCAACAGTAGTTTTTGTGCTAGAGGACGTATATCATGGCATTTCAGCCCATGAAAATTGGTCTCTTTCAGTCCAGGAACCCACCATGTGCGACCAGACAATTCGTTAAGCAAATTTACGATTCAGTGTCAACGACGCATGAATAACACAAGGAGATGAATGGCACGTTGGCTTGATGCCCAAAATTTCTGTCTAACTAAAGTTTCGGAAGCATTCTGCTCAGTTCGACTATTTCTGATTGGAAGAAGCGGCAATGAACAACGGATGCGCAGCGAGATAGTCGGATCCGGAAGCTTCCTGTCCGTCAGGGGCCAAAAATACAATTAGCGATTCTGTTGTTATTTTTTGGTTCACAAAATAGAAGTTTTGACATCTTCCGTAAGTCACAAACACCCGTGCATGGTTTTTCTCTGGCATAAAGGACATACAGAATCGCGTCCGATTCTTGGACGCTGGTATTAACAATCAATTCATTACTCATCCCATAACGTAGTAAGTTAGCCACTCTCTGCCTAACTTACACATTGCATGACAACAAAAGACAGTTACTTTGTAAACAACCAAACCCAGAAGCTTCATCATAACATTCAACTTGAAGTTTTGGAGCTGACAATTCTTTCTGGAATATTCATTCGCAACCTTAGTGTCATGGAGCCCTAGATGGCTCAGCGATCAAAGAGCGACTTACTGACCGAACTATTAGTGGTTCCAATCCAACCTCTGCATCTCGCCTGCTTCTGTCTAGGCTTGAGCACCCCGGCAGTATCTCAGCCCTTGTGCATTCTTCGGGTGACATGGCAGCTAGGCACCGGGAGTGTGTTATTTGTGAACGACAATTACTAGTAGTACTACTACTATCAGTACAATGACATTATGGTAAGTGGGAGACAACAAAAAACAACTGAAAACGAGACGCAGGGACACCACCGAGTAGTTACCCGGAAAAAATGTACACAGTAGAGGCCACTGATGCCAGCCAATCTGATAAGTCCATTTGACAAGCTTGTCCAGGTAAAGTGGTTCAGGTTGAGCCATCGACTTTTAACCCGGAAACCTGCGCAGAACACTAGTCGGGACAGGATAAAAATCGGCTTCTGACAAGGCTTGGGTTCAACCAGAAAATGCGGTTGGTGAAAACTCGGATACTGAGGCCAAGTAGGGCGAAACCAGCCATCGAATACCTAAGCGTTTTCAGTTGTGGAATCTCATAAACGGGAGATTCACCTGGAATTCAGCTGAATCTTCCATGAGAAAAATACCGGTGAACACATGAGCGTATTTTATAAACGTATTTCTTCTTTGAAACAGTTAAAGCAATGTTATCCTGTAGTTTCAGCTGCATATCATTGATGAAATTAGGTACAGATTGGGAACATACATTGTGCCAAATTTAGACTAAATCCCGTTTCATTGCAGTAAGACGATACTCAGAAAGTATGATGCAACAGAAATATCCGATAAGGGATGATACATTTGAGGCATGGATACTTACAGGTTGTTGCTGGGCAACCAAAGCAGCGGAAATATATAAAAAATAAACTATACGAACACCGAAACAACAATAATTTGCTCCAAGCGCAATGAGAAATGGCCGCCTGAACTGCTGGACGGACCACTTTTAGTGCGATGCGTTTTTGCCGAAACTATTAATGCTTGTGGAAACTAGGAAACTAGATGTCCGATCAGCTCAGATGAGCTGTTTTGTCAGTGAATTCGGCTAAGCACGTTGATTACTTCGGATTCCTCATGAGAATTCACCAAACAGGGTTCTCCCTTCGCCTGAGTTATAAACAGATTGAGATCCAGTTCCACAATTCGTTATGCCTGGAATATGACATGGTAACAGGCTCTTTTCTTTGCCCGATAATATTTCAAATTATCCTGTCCAATTCTAGTTCACGCTATAGACGTTTTGCGTCCGCCACCCCTCCTATCGTCGTTCACGCTGTTCAGTGTGTTCAACTCATTTACTTGGTTGTCTGCTACGGCACCGTAGTAACCGGCAAACGTCTGTCAAAAGCGCAAGTACGCAGCCGCTCCACTAGTTGTCAGTCTTGTTGAGTCAAGTAGCATAGTTACTTAGCCAAGAGCTG